AAAAAAAAAAAAAAAAAAAAAAAAAGAGGATTCAGCTACAATCTACTTCTGTTGGTCTTAATTTTCCCCTCTGTAAAACAGGAACTAAAAAAACCTTTGTGGCTTTTTTAATGCAAGAGAGGGCAGAAAAGCGTTATTGTTAATTTTACTTGTTACCTCCCATTCTGCTTTCCTGCCAAACTTTTCTGCCCTCCCTGGAGCAAGAAAAAAAAAAATGACACGGTTAAAATTCTGGGCCCAAACAATTGTCCAAAGTAAGGAATGTAGTAACACGTTCAAGAGGGCGGGAGTCATTCTGCAATCCCACGTTAGCGCAGGCGAGGCACAGGGTTGGACCGATGGAGAGCCCGTCTGCTTAATTTTTTAAAAGCAAACTTCTAACCCTAAGAGCAGCAGAGAGCAAAGAATACAGCCTTCCCTGTTGCCGTCTCTGAAACTTGAGAAGTTCCTTATTGCTCCTAGAATCCAGAGATTCACTCATTTAAGGACAAAATGAATCGCGGGAGCCGGGATGGAGATAAGGAGAGAAGACGGTTAGCTGTATTAGATTCCTGCCTTTCCCACTGCAGAGGAAACCCGCGTCTTCCCTGCGGTTTAACGAGAAGGGCAAATCTATCAGGACTGAGGCCAGAAGTGGCCCCGTAAGTGGATCCAGAGCCAGAAGCTCGGTTTCCCGGGGAGACGGAGGGCTGTTTGGAGCAACGTGGAAAGGGAAGTCTCCGAAAAGGGAATGTAAACAGCTGCCTTTGACGATGGGTGTTGTAAACTCTCGGTGGCGATGGGGATGCGCTGATAAATAAATAAAGACCTGCCGCTGCGTCAGATGCCTTCTGGTATCTAGAAGTTTATATTGTTAGGATCAACAGCCTCCTTTCCCAGTTCTGTCTGGAATTGAAAAAATGCCCAGTACGTAGGAATCTTCCGCCAAGACGGCGTTTTGTGCTAGCTGTGGTGACGCTTCGGCCTGGGTTTTCACAAGCCAATTGTTGTGTTATGCTTGTGAGGTTCCTGTGCTGCTTCAGGGCAGTGTACACGGCACCCCTTCTTCCGTTTTTTTTCCTACAGCAACAACAACCCTGCGAGGGCCCCAAGTCACCTGGGGAGCTTCAGTGGCGGAGGGGGGACGAGAACCCGGGTCTTTCTGCTCCTAATACAGAACCTTGCCCCCATTAGACCACCCTAGCTCTCGCTTAACCAATTCAGTTAGAAACTGGCTGCATTGGTGCAACAAGCCTGGTTACTTTTGACCTCAGTTCACTTTTCTGGGAACCCAGTTTGTTGATAATGAAGTCTGCTGTGTAAGCCCAGTTCCATAACCTGGTTAAACAAATGCAATTGAGGATGCTCCAGCCAGGAATTGAGGCTGCACTGGAGCAGTGTTTCTCAATTTCAGCAATACAGGTAGTCCTCACTTAACGACCATTTGTTTAGTGACTGGTACTGAAAAAAGTGGCTTATGACTGGTCCTTCCACTTACAACGGTTGCAGCATCCCAGGGTCACATGTTCGCCTTTAGTGACCTTCCCAGCCGCCTTCTGGCGAGCAAAATCATCAAGGGACCGCATGATTAGCTTAATGACCACCGCAAAAAATGTCATAAAATTGGGTGCAATCACGTGATGCCTTGCTTAATGACTGCACCACTTAATGATGAATTTTCTGGTCCCTATTGTGGTCATTAAGTGAGGATTGCCTGTATTAAGATCTGTGGACTTCAACTCATAGAATTCTAGGAGCATGCTGGCTTGGGAATTCTGGGAGTTGAAGTTCACAGATCTTGAAGTTGCTGAGTTTGAGAAACACTGCATCAGAGTACGCTAGCCATCTGGGCTGGGGTTGGGGAAGACCAGGTATTGTGGCACCCGTCTGACTTCTTCCCTTCTCCACAGCTCACCTTTCCCAATGCCACCCTCGCCACTGGAAGAGCGGATCGGCGTGCTGCAGAGACCCAAGACTTTGGCTCTCCGTTTCAGCCACAGCTTTGTCACCCACAGCAGTGGCGGGGAGAAGCCACTGTCCCCATCCGCGACCTGCCGAGTCGCCAGCCAGGGCCCCTGTGACGCGGCCCGCCGAAGCAGCGTCCTTCTCCCCGGCCACCCGCACGCCCTCGACCTCAAGCTGCGAGTGGGTGGGGGGCCACCAGGTCGAGGGTCGGAGCGCAGCTTTGCCTCACTGCCGGACCTCAAGCAGGCTGAGAAGAAAGGGGTGCTGACCCCCCAGCTGAAGGCACTCCTGCCCCAGGCCAAGCTCAAGAAGCGGTGTTTCAAGGAGAACTCCAAGCCGACGGGGGACGCTTCCCCCAGCTCCTCCTCGCTCTCCAGCCCCGCCCGCGCCATGCACCCCTTGAAGTGCGGCTGCTGGGGCTGCTGGCGGCTGATGCGCTGCGAGGAGGCCGGGGCGAAGTCCAGCCTGCGCTCCCTGGGCTGCTTCTCCAGCCGTTCCAGTTTGCGCTCCCTGGGCTGCCCCGGCTGCAGCCCGCAGTCCATGAAGAAGCCGGGCTGCTTCTCCTGCGCCCCGGTGGCCCTGCGCTCCCTGGCGTGCCTGACTTGCAACCTCTCGGTCAAGTCCGCCAGCTCCTCCTGCAGCTTCTGCAGCAGCGACCCCATCGTCGCCTACGACCCCCGGGTGGGCCCCTCGCCAGCTCCCAGCTGCTACGGCGGGGAAGACGAAGAGGAGGAGGACGATGACGACTACACTGTCCGCACCATCTGGCCTGACGAGCTGGCCAAGAAGATGAGCAAGGCCCACATGCAGCCGCCGCAGCAGGGCCAGCAGCAAACGTCCCCCTTGATCCTGGACTGCCGCAACCTGGTGGAATTCACCAAGACTCAGCTGCAGGGCGCCATGCGCTTTGGGGCACCCGATGCGCCAGGACGGCGGCGGTTCCAGCAAGGGAAACTGGCCGTGCTGGATTTCCTCTCCTCCCGGGGGACCTGCGACGGCCGGGACTCCTCGCTGCAGTGCCTCTGGTCCAAGGAGGGGAACGGCTGCGGGGGGGGTGCGGGCTAGCCCCCCGCCCCGCACCCCCCCCCCCCCCCCCCCACCA